GGGGGGGGGGGGTGATTTTATGGAGGAAAATGAGGCAGGTGAGAGCAGTGACGGGGACACAGCTCCCAGGGCGGCCCTGACACCCCCAGCCCCCCTGGGGATCCATGGGGCAGGCTGCAGGGCTCTGGCCAAGGGTTGGGGGTCCCATCCCAGGGAGGGGAGTGCTGTCCTTGGGGTCCTGCCCAGCGTGGGGAAACCCAGCCCCCCCAAAAAGCCACGTTTTGCTAGAGGTGCCCGAGGTCTCGGGGGTGAGTTGGGAGGGGGGTGCCGGGGGCTCTGCCCTGTCCCTCATCCCCGTGTCCCCCAGGAGGGTCGTGACGCTGGAGAAGAAGGCAGAAGAGACCTTTGGCTTCGAGATCCAGGTGGGTGCCACGTTCCCCACCCTTCCAGCCCGCACCTTGCTTTGCATCCAGGGTATTTCTGAATTGTCTCTGAGCCAGGGTTTATTTTTAGCGCTGACGGAGCTGCCTGGTTACCGAAGCCACCCCCGGCCGTCATGGCGGGGGCGGCCGGGGGGGCCCCCTTTTGGGGCTCAGCCATCTGAGGCGAGACACCCCTCCCCCCGCCCCACCAGGGCCAGGGTGCTGCCCCACATCACCCGGCAGCAATTAAATACGGCAATTGCCACCTTGAGGCTGCTGCCTGGGGGATGTGCCAGGGATCAGGGAGTCGTGTGTCCCCCCCCAGCACCCCTCACCGTCACCCCTGTTTCAGACCTACGGGCTGCACCACCAGGACAGGAACAGCGTGGAGATGTTCACCTTCGTGTGCCGGGTCCACGGCGGGAGCCCGGCCGAGGCAGCGGGACTCAAGGCCGGTGAGAGCATCCCCGGGGGGGCTGGGGAGGGCCCCAGCAGCAGAGACCGGCAGCCCTGAGCCTGTGTTCCCCCCCCCCAACACTGTAGGGGACACGATCACGGGGGTGAACGGACTAAATGTGGAGGGCGTCCGGCACCGCGAGATCGTGGAGATCATCAAGAGCTCGGGCAACATGCTCCGGTGAGCTGGGGTGATGCTGGGGGAGTGGGGGGGGTCCCAGATGGCCCCTGGCCCCCCCAGAGTGATGGCTGCTGCCCCACAGGCTCGACACACTCTATGGGACGTCCATCCGGAGGGCAGAGCTGGAGGCCCGGCTGCAGTACCTGAAAGTGAGGGAGGGGTACTGGGGGGGTGGAGGGATTGGGAGGGGTACTGGGGGGGTGGAGGGATCGGGAGGGGGGGCTGGGGACCCCCCCACAGGGTTCTCACCCCACCTCCACTTCCCCGCAGCAAACGCTCTACGAGAAGTGGGGGGAGTACCGTTCGCTGATGGTGCAGGAGCAGCGGCTGGGGCGGGGGGAGGGGGG